AATTTTCGTCGTGATTACTTCTGAAGTTGTTTCTTGTCTTTTATATCAGTGAACGAATTGATTGATGTTAAAGACAGGAGATGGGTCGTGTACGCCGGGGAGGCTAGTGCTGAGAATGACATGCATACAGAGATAATGATTAGCTGTGATCCCACACGCCGGGGAGGGAGAGTGTAGACGACTGAGGCTTGCGTACGTCACCGTTACTAGAACTGAGGCAGAATGAGTGACAAGCGATTGCAGTGGTAATTGGTAGTGAGTAGATAAGAGGACGTGCGTGGAGTATCATAAGGTGGTGCTATGGTCACGTTGAATTCTGCAAGAGTCATTCTAGCAAGTGGCGATTGTGTTGCAAGATGTCAAGAGGATGCCTTTAACTAGAAGGCGTAGGTCGTTATTGATGTGTGAGATTGTGCTGTGGGTATGCCTGTGGTGTGTTGACTTTTCTGTTTGTTTTCCATTTCAGCTCTGTCCGTGTGACCCAGGTTCTCGCAATGGCATCCAAGTCAACGTATGTTTGTCGTGATGGAAAAAAGGGATGGATCCCTTTTTGCCGGGGAGTGTCAATGTAGTTGAAGATTGAACGATCAGCTCATGGTTGTTTGCTCAAACCCAACTTCCCCATAATTTTCGCGGCTCATCTATCTGCTAGTCATCGTCTCATCGGCCGCTGTTCAGAAAGGACCCAGAAAAAAACCGTCAGAAGTAATATCGTGATTTGCTTTTGTAATATTTGTTCTTAGACCTTAGTTTATTATGCTGGTTATATGTTGGTGTTAGAATAAGGAATTCTCGAGTCGCCAATCGGTGTTCTGGTTTTTGCGTTCGTTAGTACCGAGCGTTGCTGAAAGGCTTCGAGGGACAGCGAGAGGTCCGACGTAGCATGAGCTGGGCATTAACGGTTTTTGAGACGTGATTGACATCTCACAAATGCCAAACTTTCTGGTGTTTCAAGTGTTAATGAAACCTGCTTCCCTGGTTTCAATACAAATGAATTTCTAACATATCTCCAGTCTCAGAACTCTTCTCGTAGCCTAGGTCCAGATGGTTTGCCTAGCTTTATTCTTAAAAATGTGCAGACATCCTCTCATGGATATATTTTATTTGTCTTCTTCCAGAAATGTCATGCCAGGCGTTCGAAAGGACATTAAAATTGTACCTATACCTAAGCCATACATTTAGACCTATTACCTTTCCTTTTCTAAAAGCTTTGGAAAAGTTACTCTTAAGTAATCTTCACCCTTCACTCAAAGCCTTTAACGCTCCCAAACGGTTTGCCTACAAACACAGCAGAAGTACCTTAGATGCAGCTGCAGTCTTGCATCATAACGTTGTCTCCAGTTTAGACAAAGGGACTAAATTTGTTTGCTGCAGCTCCCTAGATTACACATCTGCTTCCAACTCAGTACCTAGGGACATTTTATGGAACAAGCTTGCTGAAACCCGGAGTGACTGTTGGGTTGTCAAACGGCTGCATTCTTATTTCTCAGAAAGAAAGCAGCACGCTGTATGTCCGAGAAAGTCATCCACTTCGTTGCTTACTGAGGCTGGCGTCCCTCATGGTGCTGTCCTTTCTCCTTTTCTGTTTTGTTTCTTCTTGCATGACTTGCCTCACTCTGATGAAATCAACTTTGTTAGATATGCGGACGATCTAACTATTTCAGTGTCTGTTAACTCTCAGCTAGACTATACTGATATGAACGAGTTTCTATCAGGAGTTAGCAAATGGTCTTCGTCTAGTGGCTTTGAACTAAATCCTTCCGCATTTCAGATTGATAATTTCAGTTTCCGAGGTAAAAGAAAGTTAAATGAAGCTGTTGGTTCCTTTGGTCCTTGCAAAATTGATGATAGTGATACAGAAATCAAGTCTGAAATGAAGCATCTAGGATTAATTCTTTCTACTGACCTATCCTGGTCTTCTCATGTCTTAGCGATTTCTGAAAGAATATGTCGTCTGAATTTTTATTTTAAGAAGTTAAGGCACTCAGTCATAACACAACCACTCCTTTTACAGCTTGTCAACTCGTATATTTTACCTATTCTTCTTTACTGTTCACCCTTATTCTTTCCTGGGTTGCTTAAATTAAAACTCTGAAGACTGAGTGTCAGCAGGGCGATGACACTGACACAGTAAGATGATACAATAATGTAAAAATGACTGTTTATCATCCTGAGTAATGTGACGTGTCAGTAGCCTTATGCACTGCGGTAACTGAATGGTTTGCAACTAAACTTGAGACTGTAGGTGCCCGGGTACGACCCTCAGTGAGTGTAAACCGATGAAGAACCCCATGATAGGATGAATCGGCTGTTCACTACTCCCTGGCTTAGCATGCTGAATATTCCAGAAGTGTGCTTGGATTAAGGTCGTCATAATTATGATATTTAGATAATCAGTTTTCAGCTATGATCATGTAAACCGAGTATAGTCAGGCAATCGCTTGCGAGTTTGTCCCGCTGTCTGTCTGTCTGTTTTCGACATAGAACTTCGCACAAATGTGCGGAAGTTCAAGTCGCCACATTCCGTGTAGCACGCGAAGCAAGAGAAGAAAGTACAAGAAAAGCATAATAGAAACAGTGAGCAGAGGTGTGAGACAAAGGAGTAATAAAGAAATACAAAACAGTTTCATTGAAGATCATAAGTCACAGGGAGTGGATGCATCTGCGCCACTGAGAACGATTTTGAGCCATGTCACCAATTGTTTCCAACCATAGATTTTTACCGTCCCGAGGACCCCAGCCTGGAAGTCTACACCTTCCTACGTGGCTTAGACCAACTGTTGTGGATTTCATTGACTGATGCCAAGTTTTTGTTTGACCACCGCTAGCTTTTTTCCAGCCTGACCCTATATCCGCTAACATTGCTCGTCGAGGGAGGCGATGGCTTGGCATACGTAACACATGTCCTAACCATCTCAGTCTTTGTAGCTTCACGACTTCGTCGATTGATTTCCCCTGTTTACCTAGAACTCGACGCCTAACCTCAATGTTGCTCACCTTATTATGCCACTTTACACGGGAAATAGAACGCAGGCACCTATGATCAAAGACAGCTAGTCTTTTCATGTCTTCCACTCTCAGTGGCCAGGTCTCACAACCATAAAGGAGGACGGAGCGGACTGATGAGCAGTACACCCGCCCTTTGGTCGATAGTCGAACATCTCGTCTACGCCAGAGTCGGCGTAAACTAACAAATGCGAAACGAGCCCCTTGTATTCGTGCTGAGATTTCGTCAGAGATCAGCCCGTTGGGGCTGATGGTACTTCCCAAATAAGTGAAGCGGTCAACGTGCTCTACCACTTCACTTCCTATTTTTAAACTAGGCGTCGATGTAGTCCAGTCCTGTAACATCATCTTGCATTTGGCGGGAGCGAATCGCATGCCAAACATTCGTAGATTGCGGCTCAAGGTGTTTAGAAGACTCTGCATTTCGTCAGCGTCTTCGCCTAGAAGGACTATATCGTCTGCATATTCCAAGTCAACGAGATTATTCCCAGGTAGCAAGTCAATCCCTGAATCGCTGAAGTCACCTAGGGTTAAGTCCATTAACACATCTATGATGAAGTTGAATAGAAAAGGAGATAATGGGCATCCTTGACGGACACCACTGGTCGTCATCAGTTCAGATGACAGCTCGCCGTAAGCCCTCACCTGGCTGTATGAGTACGAATAGAGTGCCTTAATCAGTGCAATATATTTTCTTGGAATTCCCTTTACAGCCAAGCATCTCCAGAGAACTTCCCGATCGACAGAGTCGAATGCTGCCTTTAGGTCAAGAAATATAATGACTGTTGGACGCCGGTAGGAATGCCTATGTTCTAGAATCTGTCGGAGGGTGAAGATATGATCAATACACCCTCTTCCTGGTCTAAAGCCTGCCTGGCTCTCTCGTGTTTGTGCTTCCCGAGCACCACTCAGTCTACGCATGATTATTGAGCCTAAGACTTTAGATACTATATTAGTCAAGCTAATCCCTCTGTGATTATCACAGGAAGACTTGTCTCCCTTCTTGTATATGGGGATAATCAGTGACTTACACCAACCCGATGGGACTTCTTCTGATTCCCAGACGCTGCCTAGTACCTCAGTTAATCCGGACAGTAAGCTGTCTCCACCGTACTTAAATACCTCTGGCGTCATTCCATCAGGTCCCGCTGCTTTGCCTAGTTTCAGATTGGTGACAGCTTTAGTAACCTCAGTTAGTGACGGAGGACCTGTGTCTATATCCCATTCAGGGAGGTGTTGGATGTTCGGAAGGTTGAGCGTGGCTGTGGGCCAATTAAACTGCTCCTCATAATGCTCTTTCCAACGATTCAGTCGTCTATCCTGGGAGCTAATTATAGTGCCATTTTTTTCCGAGATTGTTTCACTAATGATTTGTCTTCTCCCACCCGTTTCCCTGATGAGTCCAAAGAGTTGCCTGGTGTTGCCTATCCTCAAAGCTTTCTCCATCTCTTTGGCTTTTGTCACCCACCACTGTTCACGGTCCTTGCGGAGACTTTTCGTAAGTTTCCTCTTGTGTTTGTCCCTAAAAAGTCAGACTGGAGATAAGGCTTCCAAGTAGTTTTTAAGTAGAAGTGTTCGACTAAAATGACTCCAATCATTCATAACAATCATTGCTAAGTAACATATTTCTAGGGATTTCTAAGCGTTATTCCGCATATATTTCCCCTACCTTTTGTTCATTTTCCATAAAAAGATAGTGATAATCAGTTAGGGGTTTTCATCCCGTTCTAAAGTTCATTGGCCATAATCCGAGGCAGCTTGAGAGCTTCGGCCACTGTGCTTAGGTTGAAATATTAATTTAATAATAGTAAGTGACAACTTTTAGTCAAGTGTTGTTACAGCATGCACCACAATCTGATAGACTGGTTAGGTCCTTAAATTAAAAACTTTAGAGGTGTGTCACTGTGCTAGCCGTGAGCCGCTAGTCTGCACCATCACTTTTAACACAAGATGAGGGTAAGGCACTTATAAGGGTAGTATTCTTTCATTAATAGAAAAATTGAACACTATTGAACATTGTTCAGGCGGCCAGAATACACCACTGCGTTACTTACGAGCAAGATCATTTTCTCTGTATGTCTTTTACAGCAATGTTTGCTTCATGTTTTGCATGTTATTCATAAAATTAGTAATTTTAAATATAGTTGTAAAATACTGGCTACCGAATAGTATGCAACATTCAGTATAAATGAAGTAATTCTATAAATTACCATTATCAATATGTAGATTGCCTAATGAGATGATTACTTTACTGTAACCACTGATCTTAAATTCATCTTTAAACTACCCATTATTTGATTCTTGACGGTTGTCGTAAGGACTCGATTTATAGCTACTAGCTCCTAGTCCATCTGTTTCATTTTGAGCAGTTGGGTATTATCACTAGGTATCACTTGGCACGTAGTATTAACCAAGTTCATACAAAAAAAACACGCTCATTTCTAATCTAACCCTCCACCTAAACTTAAAGAAATTTTAAACATCTGGTCAAAAGAAAGCAGTAAAATCAGAGGATATGCAATATCTATAGTTAGTTCGTCACCCGTCATTCCTTTATAGATAAGATTTTATTTTGATAAATCATATGATATAATTGTGAGCAATAGCTTGTACTCGAAACGTCATTAGTTAATATTACTGTATAACACTGTGTGATTTATCAAAATAAAATCTTATCCATAACGGAGTTATGCTCTACCACAGTGCCCAATTTTTATACTCACCAGTGTCATTCCTGGCTGTTGTTAAGTAATTTAAAATACAATACATCACTTTACTTTTGTTGTGGTATGCATATATACATATATATATGTATATATATCCTAACTGCCGAAATATCATTCACCTCACGGTCTGACATTTCACATACAGTTGCTATGTGCGCGTCTGTCAGTTGGAAAGTTGTCATTATTTCGAATAGATGGAGTAATTCCAAGAAGTTAATGGTAGTAACAAATGACTCTCGGTATACGAACACTTAGGTAATATTTTACCAAAAGGTTGCGTGACGATTTCTAGAACTGACAGTTTACAGGGGAGAAAAGGCAAAATGTTTGCGTTTTCTTAGTAATCCTATAGAGTTCAGTAATTTCGACATGTATTATAGAGGTCAATTCGATGGGTAAGGAAATTCGTATTTCTAGACCAATAGTGTGTAAAGATTCAAAATTGAGAATAGAATGAATAATATATAAACCTGTTGTGATGTCTCTCAAACGGTAATGCAATTCTTAACATCGCTTTTACTTCGAGAATGGTACTGTAAATAGAAGGCATAGAGTGGTTTCATAAAGCAACTGTTTGAGTTTATTTGAGCATCCTGGTAGTATGTCAAACTTCACACAAACTGCTATAAAATCATATGTTTTCGTCTTTATTTTACTTATCTGTTGGCCCTTGTCTGAAATATTAGTCTCAATATGTCGTCTCCAGTTCCTTTACAAGTGTCCCTCCATTTTGATATTTGTCTTGATACTCCATATAAGCTTACTACTTACAGTGTTGTCAAGCAGGTTGTTAAGTGGGTTTGATCAGAATGGTGTCTATTAATGTTTAGTGTATTTCGAAAATCCGCGTATAATTTCCGTGTCAGTTGTTTTAAACAGCTTCATCTTTTTTTGAAAAGTGCATTCTAGATGACTTTACGTGGGAACCAGGTAACATTATTGTCTGGTCTAGTTGTTGCTATCGCACTGTACTGTTTTACTAGGCGGATCAGTTAGAGTTAGGTGTAATTGTCAAGAGAAACACTGTATTTAACCATAACTACAAACACACTGACGTCGTAGTTGGGTGCAGTTAAAGATGAGTTTAACCGTCAGTTGACTGTACTCAACTAAGTGTATCATATATATATATATATATATATATATATATATATATATATATAGTAGTAATTGCTGTTGAAACATTATATCTCTTTGGAATTATCCTTCAGGGCTGGTTTTAATGATATGCACATTAATATGTATAAATCTGTGTATCAAAACGCCTACTGTTGTTTTGGATTTAGCGCTGGACTCACTCAACCACTCCCACCCGTCATTAACTGTGCTATCCCGACATTTTCGAGGCAGTTGTGAAGAAATTGCACTGTTTAAGTGCAAAGTACTGTTCTATTATCCTAGTAAGTGAGCTGTTGGAAGTCGAAGAGTTCGTATATCTAGGTGGTTGTGTGAGTATCAGGACGGTGTACCAACGTTGGGTCACCTCTGCCTCTGTCATAATTTTAGTGTGACCATCAAACGTAAAATCTACAATACATCTCGTATGCATGTGTTACCTTATATCTTCGAGCCAAGGATGTGTTGGGTCTCTGTGTGTGCGATCATTGCAGTATATGTTGGATTGTCTGAATCCAGTGGAGTGTGTTTGGGTATCATGGATTTCATCTTTCGGCAAGTGACCATCTGTAAATACTGGCCTAAGTGTATATATTGTACTGACAACTTCACTGCTCACTAACCTATGGACTGGTCGGGACTAACGCAGTGGTGTTCAGCTCATTAGATAGCATCGTAAGATGAAGGTCAGTTCTATTGGATTGGCATATGTTGGTACACCACAATTATCTGAACGGTGCCTGAGACACTGTATGACTGGTTCGAGACGTTATTCGATGGAGTTCAGAATCTAAAACAATGGCGACCATACTGTATTTTCCTTGCTTTTGTTATTTCTGAAAGTAATATGAAGGAATGAACGCTGGTGTAAGCATCGTTCGTGTTTTATGTAAAATAAATAAACTTAATCAACTAGTTATTCAAGCTTGTAAATAAACATTTTTAGTCTTTCTTAACTTGTATATCATTTATTCTGCTTTAGAATGCAAAGAAGTTTGGTAGAATGTTCGGTTGAAATAACTGAGATATGTCTAAACGCCCAGTGCGCTCACACACGATTTCGAAATCATGCAGAATACAAGTAAGTTTTTCAAAAAAAATGTTATAGATGAACTTGATTTATCGCAAATTCAATGAAAAAATGTCTAAAATTGATCGTGATTATTATCTTTTGATGTCAGCTTCATTAATATTCTAAAAATTCTAATTATTGTGGTTTCTAATACTTGAAGACGTCATTTTCTTCTGGAGGAATACACAGTGTGGTGCGGAACGTGGCGAATAATTTTTTAAATCTTTATAGGAAGATTTAATGCGTCGGTGGCGCAGCGGTTAGGACGCTCGCCGACCATGCACATGGTCGACACACTCCTTTACCTCTCTAAGCCAGTAATAAAGCTGGTAAAGAGGAAAGGTTGGGCGGGAGACTTGCAACCCCATCCTGTAAAAATAAACACAGCTACAGAAACTTCAAGCCTCTAGCTTGAAGCCCACTGGGAATGTGAAAAAAATTGCAAGATTTGCCACCTTGAGAATGAAGTTTACTCATTGATATTAACTGAATAAATAGTGAAAGTAAAAATCATCAGTCACTTCTCCAAGAACAAACGTTAAAATTCTTAAATTCCACGGAGGTCTGCACACTCCTTGAATTTTATTATATGGACTAATGCTTTCCAAAACGACAATCCATGGCGTGTGTTTCTCCGTGTTTCAGGTTTTTCCTTTTGTAGTGTAACGATTCTTCTGTCCATCTGTCACATTTGTCAATGTTATTATTGATTTTTGGTTGTGTATTTGTGAGAGTTGCTCAGATCTATATATATACACATATATTCGCGCGTTTAAGCTACGTTTTTGCTTTTTCTCGTTATTCTTTTATTTGTTTTTCTTAGCCTAATACTCAGGTTACGCTTGAAAGAGTAATTGGTTTTACATTAAGTAATAACTGTGCAGTCGCATTCTCTGATAAAACTGGCCTTATCGCTCATGCAGCTGGGTGAGTGTTAGTTTTTTTGTTAAAGATAGTAGGCTATTGTGTCATATATATATATATATATATATATATATATATATATATATATATATATATATATATATAGCTGTTTGATCAATTGAAAATATACCTTGGCTTCCGTGTCTTCTGCTGTTACAATGTGCAATGTCCCACTCACCGAAACAGTCTGCTTTACATGTAAATATGTAGGTGAGAACCATCCCAATATTGGAATACCAACAACATATTTGAAGGAATTACTGCTGAGATGCACTCTGAACATACAGTTCACCTTCAACGTCACCATCTATAGACAAAAAGATGGTACTGCAATAGGATATCCGTTGGGTCCACTACTATCAGATTGTTTCGTGGAAAACCTCGAGAAAGGTCCACTAAAGCTGAGCATTGACAGTTTACGACTATATGAACGATACGTAGATGACATGCTCATTATTTGTGACAACAGTAATGACCCTAATCTACTGCTGCAGACATTTAACTGTTGCCATCCCGCAATAAAATTCACTCTTGAAGTGGAAAACGAATCAAAATTTCCCTTTATTTATGTGGAACTAACAAGAAGAACTGATGAGACCTTGAGAAGATTGATTCATAGAAAAGCTACTTGGAATGGCCAACTAACAAGCTTCTATAGCTGAGTAGCCATTCAACAAAAGCGGAATTTAATTAATTCCTTCACCATCCGCATCTGATTTATTGGTAAAAATATCAAACCAAGAATTAGGAAAATGAAACTTCATTTGCGTCGAAAAAGAAACTATATGAACTTGAATTTCAAGGGAGATTTAGTAAGCGATATTCCCAGGTGAAGGATCACATCATCCCTGAGAAGAACATTCATTGCAACAACACTAAGAATAGTGTTCTCCAATCGCCCACTCATTTGCAGAAGCCTTAAGGACAAGATCCCGCATCTAACCACTTCTGTGTGCATATATCAGTTCACCTGCTACTGTGAAGCCAGCCAGGTACATCGGTTGTTCGACGCGCACCCTGTCCAAGAGAATTCAAGAACACTATCCAGGATGGTTGCTAAAAGGCAGTAGTGGTGCTTTGAGGAGTGGGATAATTGGACACCTGGTTAACACTGATCGTTCTATCTCAACAAACGCCTCCTGCTTCAAAGTAATCTAAAGAGTCAAGAATAACCTATCAAAGGCAATACACTTTCCTCTTCTTTGTATCGCTAGAGCTGTGGTCATTCACGTAGAAGAACCGCAGCTGTGCATACAAAAGGGAATTACTCAACCACTTCTATTATCATGCTAACAACTTTGTTGATTTTTGATGACTTAATTTTGTTTGTTTGCTTGCCTGTTTCTTTAATTGCTTATAATTCTTGTATTCATTTAGAACTCTTACGTAATTTCGTATTCTCTACTTTTTTCCTACGTGTGTATCCTGAGTACAACTCAAACTACTCGTACTGTTATGTAACCCCCTTATTAAAAACTGTTTGTGATAACTCATCACCTTCGTTACTACACTAGTTTCATTAAAACCCAATTTTCTTGACCGTTTTTGTATTACGTAACTCTACCCAAAACTTAGTAGTTTTCACCTTTCTAGTTAAAATAGCCATATCCAATTGTATTTCTGTTTGACAAACTTAATGTACACATGCATACAAAATAATTCATGTATATATGCGATTGTACAGCTAAGAAAATGAATTCACCGAAAGGAGACTCTTCGTTGAACTACATGTTTTGTTTTCATTAATGCCTGGATGGGGATTATTCATGAATATATCCTTTATCAATGTTGAAATGCAATTGCTGTGTGATTGTTTGTACTTCTAACTGGAGTATTTCGTGTGGTAACCGCCTAAGCAGTATGAAATGCAGATACCGTGTACATGAATAAGTCATGTTACTGCATCACGTTACTTATACTGTTTTTTTTAACGATAACTGACAAATGCTTCAGTGTCTAGCTACAGTTCACTATTGATGAAGTCTTGAGGAGTACTGAAACAGCAGTGATATTATAAGTATGTGTTGATGACTGATAAGATTCTACTAAGATTCAATTTTATGAGTTTTGTAGACGGAATATAAACATTCTTTTAGTCCACTTACCTCGTTCCTCTGCATTCGAATTTTTTAAAGATTATATAGCTTCTTGTGTTGGAATAAAGTAGCCAGGTTACCTTTCTTTGGCTAATAAAATCGTATCTTTTATTACAATGCAGAGTGGATCTTTTAAGAGAGAGAAAGATAGAGTGAGAGATTAAAATTGTTAAGGAATTATTGTCCTTCATGTTCAAATTCTGAGGTCAATTGCAGGAGTGAAAATACTTTGTTATAATGAAAAAGGTAATAATTTTAAATGTTTGTGTGTGACACTGCGTTGGTGGTCCAGAGGTAGAATCATCGCTGACCACGCCACACGTAGTCCGGGATTCGATATGTGGCCGACGCACTCCTAAGAAGGAAGTGTGTGGGCAGTTGTTACTTCCCGGCTGCCCACACCGTGGAAGTTGGTTGATTCTTCGGGTACCTGAAACAGAAAGAGGGTTAGTGTTGCGTGATTGCAGAGCCCAGGGGACAACTGCTTGAGGCCAGCCGTCGCACACGGCCTGTATGAACTGGTTTCTTGGTTTGGTTCCGTATTAGTAAACTTACCGCCGGTTACGGACCACCGGGGTGTAGGTCGGGATGTACAATTTTTGAGGTCGAACTTTTCTAACCCCCTCTCTCTGGAGTGGAGAGACAGCATAGCTGACGTGCTGGTCATCTGAGGGAAACACCTCACTGCTGTTACACCCCTGTTCCCCAGCAGTACGACTTCGCCCACAGACATCCAACATAGTATAAGAAAGACTCTTACACAATGCCAATAACTACTTTTAGTCTAATCGCTATCCTAAAAACCTTCCTGGTATGGTAGGTAGGACCTGCAGGAACATTGGTTCCAGCCAGTGTAGCTTGTTGGGTCATCGTGATGTGCAAGCCTAACCACCACGTCAAGGTAGCAGCCATCGGTTGGGGCACTCCTAAACCTCGCTTAACTAGCAGTAAACCTCGAAAAGAGGGATAATTAGGCGTATTGCTAGCAATAAAAAGAAACACCGCTGCTACTGAAACTTCCAAGCTCAAGCTTGGAGCTCTATGTTCACGCGAAACATGAAGGAATAAAATAATAAAAATATATGTGATGCTAAAATTGCGATACAGATAAACAGTCAGACCAGTGATTGGAAAATGGTGCAAAACAGCAGAGAACCATTGGAAAACCAAGTCAGGTAATAGATCAGTCACTCGTCTATGACATTGACTGGCGGTTGTGTCACCTATATCGCGAATTGATTGAAGTTGGAATTCATATACAATTTGATCGCGTCCCAATGGGTGAATGGTCTACAAGCTCATCTAGTAACCAGAGGGTCCTGAATTCTAACACTGCAGCTGATTGTGTATTGTTGAAGAGTCCCAAGTATCGGGACGAAACACCTGTCCAATGCTCCCTGCTGGTTTTTCAATGGCCCTCTGACTGATGTCAACTCGTGATCAATTCCTGTAACCAATCAAGTCCCCACAAACCAACATATGATAAATAGAATTTCGATGATATAAGGAAAAATATGATTGAATGAATGCTTTGCGAAATTTCGAAGACGGTGACTAGCATATATATCTGTTCTACGACAATCGATTTTGAGCCCTCACCAATATTCTCCAGCAATTTATCCTTAGCGTAGTGATAAGCGCAGTGAAGAGTAACTTAGGACATCCTGCATTTGCATCTTTTAGTTTTATCAATTCTAGATTCTTGTTTAATCTTTCAGCTAACGTTGTTTGTTGTATTACATTGTTAGCGTTAGTTTAAGAGAACTGAAATACTGCCCTGGTGCCCAGACCTAAGCAGGTAGTTGTCTTCAGGGACCACCCCCAACCTCCGCAAGGCAGCGGAGCAGCATCAGGAGCTACGTTCCCATGGTTGCTAGTGACCAATACAGGTTCATATGCCGCCATTCAATCCGTTTGGATTTTGGAGCCCATGTACCCTATAGTAACTGCTTTTAATCTAACTGTTATCCAAACAACCTTCTTGGCATGGCAAGATCTGCAAGAACATAAGTCCCAGTCAGTGTAGCTTGTTGGGTCACTGCGGTATGCAAGCCCAAACTCAGTGTCAATGTAGCTGTTATATACCGGGGACAAAGTATCCTAGCACATGTAACAATGCATCAGCAGCACCAACCAAAGCGATTCACTACTTACTTTCTTTCTCGACCTTTTTTCATCCAGCATCAACATTACTCATTCTATGATGCCATCATATCAGGGTGATGTCGTAAAAGCACTTTTGGATAAAAACGTGTATCGAACTCATATCCTTCAGATTCACTACAGCTGCATATACTAATTTAAACTGTTATGTCAAGCATTTAAACCACTAAAGTAATTCATTTTTTCATCTCCCGAATATTTTGGAGTGTATATTAGTAGGTATCAGTTATACAACTAGTGAATGAGAGGTTTCACTTTCACAACTTGCTAAGGGTTCTTATCAAGTAGAGACACACTTAAATTTGTTGTTAAAATATTATGATGTAATTGATTCTTAGCGATATGTATAACTGACTCTCTACAGTTAGACTAGACTTATAAATTCAGTTAACTTACATTATGAAATAATAGAGAAGATTTGTAACTCAGAAGGATGATTTGCAATTAACAGTGTTCTCTGAGCTGGTTGGTTTAGTTGCGGAGCTTTCGTCGACCTCTTGGACAACATTTTCAGCGCAGTATTTAGGATAAAGTGAAATGATTTAAATTTTCTTCATGAGTGGTAGAATTGCATCTCCCGGTAACCATCTTTACATATGTATTCAGAAAGAATGGTTATCCACAAAATTTCATCAAAAAGTGTTTAAAATCGAATAACAACACCAACAAGGGACCATCATCAAAGACCACAAGAAATTCATCCTACCATACATGAAAAATGTCTCTGAAATAACAGCTAGAATACTAAAACCGTTTCATATAGATATAGCACACAAGCCAGTCAAATCGCTCAATTCGATATTATGCAAACCGAAAGATCCAACAGAAAAAGGAGATAAAATTAATACCATTTACAAAATAAATTGTATGAACTGTAACAGGCATTATATTGGTCAAAGTGGGCGTCCCCTTCGAATTAGAGTCCAAGAACACAAATCAGCCGTGAAAAGACACGATATATATTCTTTCATATCAATTCACATAGACAATTACGGACATCAATTTGATTGGGATAATGTCGAAATCTTAGACAGAGGAAACACCAAAAGTGCAGTCAGGGAATTCCTAGAAGCCTGGTACTGAAACGAGTATGCAATTAACAAACACGTTAATATAGACCAAATATATCAACTAATAAAAAGTAAATCAAGTGACTAGAAAGTTTAAAATCCAAGTCAATAGAAAATGGTCAATACATATGTAAAGATGGTTACCGGGAGACGCAATTATATCACTCATGAAGAAATTTAAATCATTTCACTTTATGCTAAATATTGCGCTGAAGATGTTGTCCAGAAGGACGACGAAAGCTCCGCAACTAAACCAACCAGCTCAGAGAACACTATGAATTGTAACTTACATTATGTTGAATTTACCATTCAGTTTATTACGGGTTTACTTCTTATTTACCATTTATTGTATAGAAGTTTTCTACCTGTTTGGATGTCTGTTTAGTAGTAAGCTATTACACATTTACTATCTAAATCCTTAATTAATACATGCATATGTGCTTGTAATGCATTCTTATTTTTTCATAGGTGTGTGACAGTTCTTCATTCATTTGAAAATGAACGTCAACAATTTATACAAAGTCAAAGTCGCAAGGCTATTACAGCAGTGGATTTTAGTTCAGATGGAAAATATTTAGCCACAGGAGAGGTGAGTCTACTATAAAAAGAGATACTCTGTTGTGTTATGTAAGAATGCTTTTTTATCTCCTTTTCGTGCCATATCATGAACAGATAGAGGTGACTTCCATGCTATACTGACTATATATGCGTAATATTATTACCTTTGAGACTTGATGATCGTGAACTAAATCCTAAGTGGAGATTACTGATGAGTCCCAAATTGAAGCGAAAAGCTTATTCAGTGTTTCTTAGTTTCGGATTGTTTACCAGTTACTATGGTTTCAACTGTTTTATGTGTTTTATGTACGACCTCTGAAAAGTTCCAAACTAGGTCGAGACAACTTTCCAGTACTCTCTGGTTCACCTGCCTCGGTATGGACAGTTTGCTGCCTCCGGGCAGTATTTCAGACCTGTCACGAACAATGTTTCAGTATTTCAAAAGAATGGTTACTGAAAAAAGGATACGCTTTTCGATAACCTCTCCTTCATCAGGTTCTACAGTTGTATATACATAATGGTGTTATTAACAATATTAATGTTGTTTAAATAACACCGAATCAATAATAATAATAATATAAATGGACTACAGTTCGTTGGTATCAGCATAACAATAGACACTGAATATCCGAAAAATTAGCAAAAACAAAAATACAAATTCATGAATTTATAGTCTCCACTGAAGGTCATGGCAGTAGTATTGGGTGGAATTGCTTCTTCTGCACACAAAGCACTGGCTTTCTTCGGGAGAATCACTATAGCCTCTGCTGTTTGGAGTATACAGTACCCGAGATGATAGAGAAGGATTCTTCAATGCTGGCTTTGTGGCTGGTTTGGACCAGGTGGTCTAATATCAAACTGTTGATGGTTTTTACTACACCTTTATTTGGCCACACTGGTAGATGTTCCCGAGTGAGCACGAAAAATCAAGTTCCTAGGGCAACGGCCAATATAACTCTCTTCACCGTAAGTGCAATTGAATTCGTAGATACAATTAGAAACATTCTCTATCATCTACCGGGTACCAAATAAATTGCCAAAAGCATCCAGGTGCGCCTTCAATGATTTGGTGATTGGTGGTAGTGTGTTCAAACACAAGGATATACACAAGACGACATGGATTTCACCAGATGGAAACACCAAAAACCAAATAGACTTCATCTCAATTTCAAGAAAGTGGAGACGGAGCCTACTGGACACAAGGTCAAGGAGAGGAGCAGATGTGGGTTCAGACCACTATCTAGTAGAAGGGACTTTCAAGGTGAAACTAAAAGCCTCGAGGATAGCTGGGGATAGGCCACAATGCAAGTTCAACACTCAAAACTGAAGGACACAACCACAAAAGACACTTTCACTGCAACTGTCAGAGCAAAGCAGGAAACACTACGCGACATCACTGAAGAATCATGCGTGGAAGAACATTGGAAGTCTCTGAAGGCGATTCTCAACGAAACGTGTTCAACGGTTCTAGGAAGAAAGAAGAGACAAGACAAGGAATGGCTCTCAACGGACACTTGGAAATTAATAGAAGAGAGGAGAATGGTGAAAGAGAAAATGATTCAATGCAAGGACGGACAGGAGAAGGAGACGCTGAGCTCAACTTACAAAGCACTGGACAAAGAAGTGAAGAAGAGTGCTAGGAAGGACAAAAGACGATTCTACGACAACCTGGCCACTGAAGCTGAGAAGGCAGCAGGCAAAAGGGACCTGAGGACACTATATCAGATAACCAAATCTCTATCCGGGAAGAGACCAACACAAGCGAAACCTATAAAAGACAGCCAAGGGAACCCAATTACCAAGGAAGAAAAACAGATTAAACAATGGGCGGATCACTTCAAAGGACTCTTGAACCGACCATCACCTGCAACCCGTCCAGAAATACCAACAACAGCGCGCACACAACTGCAAGTTGACACCAATCCTCCAACGAGAGCTGAAGTCTTGAACGCAATCAAGCTTCTGAAAGCTGGAAAAGCAGCCGGACCAGATGGAATACCCCCTGAAGCACTGAAAGCGGACCCAGAGACTACAGCAGACATGCTGACTCCATTATTGCAAAAGGTCTGGAAGGAGGGAAAGGTGCCTACTGACTGGAGGAAAGGTTACCTCGTGAAACTACCAAAGAAGGGCGACTTACGCCTCACTCTGCAAGAACTGGCGAGGAATCATGCTCCTATCGACGCCAAGTAAAATCCTGAGTCGCATCATCCTGGAGAGATTAAAGGACGCACTGGAGACAGAACTCCGACCAGAACAAGCTGGATTCAGGAAAAGGCAAATCATGTACTGACCAAATTGCAACTCTACGCATCATCATCGAACAAAGCATGGAATGGCAATCAAACCTCTACCTCAACTTTATAGACTTTGAGAAGGCCTTCGACAGCGTTGACCGTGAAGTAATTTGGAAATTACTCGAGTACTATGGCGTACCCCAAATATTCATCAACCTTATTCAACAGCTGTACGACAACGGCACATGTCAAGTGATCCACAACGGAAAACTCAGCGAGGCGTTTGGAGTAAACACAGGAGTCAGACAAGGGTGCTTACTATCACCAATGATATTCCTAATTGTGGTGGACTGGATTATGCGTCAGACAGTGGGAAACGAGAAGACAGGAATATCCTGGACCGACGTGAAGAACCTAGAAGACCTGGATTTCGCGCGTGGATGATTTATGTTTGATGTCACACACAATCGAAGACTTACAAGCGAAAACCGACAAACTGGTCGAAGAAGCAGCCAGCGAAGACAGGACTCCAGGTGAACATAGACAAGACGGAGGTTATGAAAATAACCAACCAACAACAGCAACAACATCCAACGTCAATCACCATCAACGGGAGGGATTTGAAAGAGGTTACTTCATTCACTTATCTAGGGAGCATTGTCTCAACTACAGGAGGAGCGGACGAGGATGTCAAATCGAGCGAGAATCGGGAAGGCGAGAAACACATTCATCAACCTGAAATCAATCTGGAAATCTTCGTCACTCACTCAGCATCACCAACAAAATTCGTCGGATTTTCAATACAAACGTAATCAAGTCAGTCAGTTCTTCTATACGGATCAGAAACTTGGCGGGCGGGTCACAAAGAATATTTCCAAAAGCCTGCTGCAGACCTTTATTAACAACTGTCTTCGCTCTATACTGAAGATCAGATGGCCGGAAAGAATCACCAACAAGGAATTATGGGAACAAACAAAGCAAGAACCAATCGCCCAACAAATATGCAGGAGAAAGTGGAGATGGATCGGACACTCGCTGAGGAGACCGCTGGGTGACATCGCGCGTCAAGCCCTCGAGTGGAACCCGAAAGGGAAGCGGCGTGTGGGACGTCCAAGGGTGACATGGAGGAGATCGTGTGAAGAGGAGTTGAAAGAATATGGACTAACATGGATGCAGGCGAAAAGTACAGCAGAAGACAGAAGGCAAATGGAGACGTGCAGTTGAAGCCCTATGTTCCACTAGGAACCCAAGGGAGCAATAATAATAATCCAGGTGCCGCATACTCCGAACAGCAGAGGCTATCGAAATTCGTGTGGAACAACCGTCACTCTATGTGCAGAAGAAGCAAATTCAGCCATTACTACTGCTGTGGACGGCCTTCTGTGGAGACGATAAATTTATGAATTTGTATTATTATTTTTCATAATTTTCCTGATAGTCAGTGTGCACTGTTATGTTAGTGCTATCGAACTGTAATCCATTGATATTGTTATTATTATTGATTCGATGTTATTTAAACGACATTAATGTTGTCAATAACACTAATTCATTCATTCACTATTATGTATGTATATAACTGTAGAACCTGATGAAGGAGAGGTTATCGAAAAGAATATCTTTGTTCAGTAATCATTCTTTTGAAATATTGAAAGATTGTTTGTGCGAGGTCTGGGACACTGTCCGGATGCGTATACCGAGGCAAGTAAACCACGGAGTACTGGAAAGCTGTCTCACCCTAGTTCGGCATTCTTCAGAAGTAGTACACACCTGCCGCCAGGGTTGAAACTCAGGACCATCTGGTTACAAGGTAAGCTCGTAGACCATTCAGACACTGGGAGGGAGGCAGTCAGTCATTTCGTTACAACATCATGTCAAAAAATATTTTCAAAACATTCTTCAGATTAACTTCAAACAGACTAGTTTAGTATTTCGTTCCAACCAGTTCACTGACTTTATGACCAGAAAATTCTGAGAGATGGTCATAGGGATGAACACACGTGTCACTGTTTTGCTCATATCCTACTAGTTGAATTCATAAAATATTCAATCTCAGTCACTTTTCATTTTCTGTTTATTTATTTATTTGTTTTGTATGTTTCATCACTTTTGTTTTACTTTTTGCTGTGACATGTCTACAACGTCATAGGGAATCATGTGGATCTTGTCAACTTAGATCAATGTACAGATTGAATTATTTACCCTGATGTGTATGTGTTGTATACATTTTATCTAAACAAAATTATGATTCATGAAAAATGAAAAAAACCACCTAATCGTAACATTAATAAAAGCAAACGACAAAAGTAGTTCAGCGAAGAGACTCTTTTCAGCGAATTCATTTTCTTTATCTTTAGCTGTACAGTCACACTTATATTGAATTTCTTTTTCCATGAGAGACTTAGAGAGAGAGAGAGTGAGAGTGAGTGTTAACAAAAGTGATGATGAGTTGTCACAAACATAGTTTATTTATACTAGTCAATGCATACGGGGAAGTGGAATGAGTTGTGACCAGGATACACATAGAAACGAAGGAAAATATGGAATTATGTAAGAACTCTAAAGAAATACAAGATTTATAAGGGGTTAGAGAAACAAATAAGCAGACAAAAATCGTGTCAGTATAAATCAACACAGTTGTTACCGTGATAGTTAGTAGAAGTGGTTGAATAACTTTCTTTTGTATGCATTATTATTATTCTCTTACGTTCCGAGTGGAACATAGGGCTTCAACAACACATCTCCACATTGTTCTGTTTCCTGCCGTCCTCTTCAACCGGGTCCACGACTGACCAAA